TCTATGATTCTATGATTCTATGCTTGGTTTACCCTCTCCTCGCTCGCCCACCCCTGCTATCGACGCCATTGGCGTGGAAGGACTGCTGGAGTTCAACCACAGACGAACCTGCTCCAAGGAAAGGTTACACCTCCCGGGAGCACAAGCTCAGAGAACTGGGGTTGTTCAGCCTGGTGGAAAGGAGGTCCCAGAGAGACCTCATTCCTGCCTTTTGGTACTTAATGGGGGCTTGCAGGAAAGATGGGGACGGACTGTTTATCAGGCAGTGCAGTGATTGGATGAGGGGTAACACTTTCAAACTGAAAGAGGGTAGATTTGCATTGGCTATGAGGAAGTATTGCTTCACTAATGAGGGCAATGCACTAAAGCAGATTGCCCAGAGAAGTTGTGGGTACCACATCCCTTGAACTTGGAAGTGTTCAAGGCCAGGTTGGATGGGGTTTTGATCTAGTGGAAGGTGTACCTGACCCTGGTGGGGGGGTTAGATGATCTTTAAGGTCCCTTCCAATGCAAACCATTCTATGATCCTATACATAAAGGCAGAGTAGGGAAATGGAGAAAAGGAATGTAACAACTAAAAGAATAAGAGCATGAGACACAGAGGATGCCAACAAGACATATTACTGTTAGTATGATGACAAGAGCATGAAGTTTACACTATAATGAGAGGAACTGCTCAAGCTCAGCTGAATCAGTTTGAAAATAGAGGGGGGAAATGCTGTCTTTCGGTATGATATGAAGCAGAAATGATTATTTTAGCTAGAAAAAATAATATCTATCTAGCATAATTTATTTACATTACACTTACTTGAAATGCTCAAAGATCCCCTTCAAGTTAAGCACTACATAGACACACAGAGCCACAATACTACACCGAGGGCAGATATAGGCTTCAGGTAGGAACATTACTCTCCATTTTTACAGAAGAGGGTGCCAAGTTTCAGGGGATGAAATAACTCAGTCCATACCACACGGAAAGTTGTGACAGTTGCCAAGTACCTGACCAGACTCTTCCCCCAACAGTATCTCTCATCTATTGTTTGTTGAATTTTGTTGTTTGAAAACAGAAAGGGGTCTTGCAAATTTATGCAGCTCTTCTGAATGCGAAATATAGCTGAAGGGATTCTGACTACACTACTATGGGTTCTCTATGAGAAGCACTTACCCTGTGCAACAGATCTTATTTTTCTGAGGTCTTTTAACCTACAAGGTGATAACGAGGCAGAAAGAAAAAGTCTCTGCAACACACCACTTTTCATAGGTGAATGAATCCCTTGTTCTGATATATTTGGGGATACAGTCCACCATCGAGTCAATAATTTTAACATTATTTAGATGTCAGCAGAAATTATTATTTTAGTTCTTTTCAGAACCCTTTTCAGTTCTGCTGTTCCTGCATACATTTGTTGCTGAAGCCATAATTTTGTGTTAGCCTAACCTCTGTGGCAGCCTAAAGCACAGCAGAAGCTGAACTTCTATGGTAGAATCACAGCCTAGCTGAGAAATTTCTATTCCTTATGCCCAACTCTGAGCCAACAGAGATGGCAGGACCAAATCGTCACCTACTCTCTGTCTTACTCCAACATGCTTACAATAGCTTTGTCTTTTTCACCAATGCCACCACAGGGCAGAAACTGAGGAAAGGATAACATCTCCCTCTTACGCTACTGCCAAACAGCAAACATCGGGGCTTATGGGGAGATCTGGTCATGCACCTGTGAAGGGCTGGGTACTTGGGACTCACCAGGGCATCAACAGTAGGTGAGGCAATGCACTGTTCCATTGAGAAAGCCCTCTTCAACCATACATTAATCACTATTGTGTCTTCTACTGAGGCTCCTCAAACTGCAGCAGCAAACTGATTTTTAGCCCTGCCAGCTTTTGATACGACTGCCCTGGAAGGGGCACAGTCACTGCCAGCCTTCTCCATCTTGGTAGCTATTTGGGTAGTCTTTAAGAGGAGGCTGACCTCTGGCAAACTAAACCTTAAGACGAATGACAGCAAATGTCCTTGTAAAGGTATTGTCTCTAGTTAGGTGGTCTTCAGGATCATGTATTTACACTCCCTATTTCCTCACTACATCCTAACATAACTAAGGCATCCACACTTCAGGTAAAATTTTAACCCCTTTCCCCAGAAAAGCTCACGTGTCATATTCACCCATGGGGGGAGGGGGGTGCACAGCTATAATTTCTCTGAGGCTGATCAGAAAAGCAAAGCCAGCCCAGCTGACTTAACTTGCCAGTATTTAGTTAAAACAGAAGAAACACTAAGCTGCTTACTTCTTGCGTTGCCGAATCCCTCCAACAACAAGGAAAACAATTCCAGCCACAGTGAGACAAAGAACAACACCGAATACGATAAGCCAGACGGGTGTGGAGGGTTCAACGGGAGGTGATAAGGTTGAGGTTATCTTCAGGAACTGCAGTGTTTTGTCACTCAGTAGGAAGGCACTGTTGATTCTGTTCCGGTTCATCCTTCATAAAAACAAACACAAAGAACATCACTATTCTTTATGAAGTTATTTTATAAGTTAAAAAGATAAAAGTAAACCAAAAAGGAATCTTCATGTATGTGCTGCAAGGCTGGTAGGGCTGACTTTGATCCAGCATGATGTTGGTAGGTTTACACAGACCTTCATTTTGACATAGACTTTGTCAGTAATCCATGGACACCCACACACTCACAAGGTTTCGAACACCAGACTTCTTAATGTATTTATCTGAAAAATCATGAAATAAAGATGAGACCTGAAGAACAGTATTATTTATTTATGCTTTGAACCACGTGCTGAAGACATAGGAGGCTGCAATCAGAAAGGGTGGCTCTGTTGTTTTGCTCACGCAGCATTCGAGATTAGCATGGGAGTGGCAGCTCTACCCTGCAACGCTCAGAAGATTTATTTATCAGTGCTCCTTGCTTCTTCAAACTGAACCACTATGCATGTTATGGGCTGGTACATCTGCTCTTGCTGATGTACATTTTCTTAGTCCGTGAGGCACCGGGTACAATCTGGTCTAGAAGAATCCGTCCCTACTGCCAGCATGCCCTTCTTCCCTGCAGGGTGCAGCTAAAGAGATTTGTACTTAACTCACTTTCACTATTTCTAAGCATTTGCAAGTATTTCTGGATCTGAATCTAAGCAGCCTTAAAAGGCTTTAGCAGTATCTTTCATTAGCTTTTTCAAAATTTTAACAGTCTTTGAGAAAACATATTACTTTTATTTGTCTTCAGAGATCCTTTTTGATTGCAGTTGCATGATTTACAGCAGCTCTTTCTTGTATACAGTTCAATTTATTTACCATAAAGCAAGTATTTCCTAAGAACATATACATGGGAACCACAGGTGAGATTTTGCAAACTTCTTTTCTTGGAAATCAGAATGTTTGACTGTGCCTTAAACAGGAAGTTCTTAGCCTTAACGGAAAGCTAGCACTCCTGGAGAGGACTGAAAGCCATGGCATATTATAAGACTCATTATACAGTAAGCCATCTTTGACTTAGAAAGATTTTCACCCTTGCTGATGTGAAAGGATCATTGTGAACAGTTGAAACAAGCATTGTTCACCTTCATTTAGATGAGGGTTAGCCCTTACCAGCTGGAGTTACAGATTTATGTGCTGAAACACATGCAGGCAACTACAGGCGCATTTTGTGTTTGTATATGTATAAATATGTTCTGTGTATATTTATGCAAGATCTTGGGTCTCATACAGATCTCTCAGAAGATTTATCTTCCTCTGTATTCTTACTTTGCAGAGAATCCTGTACAGTACAACTCTGGTCCATGGGTAGTGCTCTTACTGTAAATAATGGTTTAACATGGAAGCCTCCAGTCAGAAGCAATTGAAGAAAAAGCATTGTAGATTTATAGACCATTTTCTTTCTTGTTTCTAAGTGAGGCAAGAATTAAAGCTTTTCATAAATAGCATATTCTTTATTGGGTGACAGACAACAGTTAAAAAACAAACATACTATAATAGCATCTAATCTGGCAAACAGGGCACATAAAAGACTTAAATAAATCAGCTTATGCTACTGAACATATCAAAGAATAACAGAAACGCAAAAACCTTGCATTCCAGCACTCTTACAGAGAGCTTCAGTGAATAAATAATCTGCTTCCTCCACTAATGCTATGAAGCTATTGTTTGGTGTCTCTGTAGGAAATAGTTTAATCTGCTCATAAGCTTAAAAGTTAATCTTTCCAAAAGAACACATACTCATTCATCAGGAATTAGGCATTACACCTCCACAGAGATAACATGAATTTTCAAGACAAAGTACAGAATGCCTTAAAACAAAGGGGTCTGTTTTCTACTCTGTGCTTGAGAATTGTATGTGAGTTATGCTGCTTGTGGGAGTCATCTCTATAAAGCCCCTACACAGGTTTTGTAGACTACTAAAATCAGATTACCATTTTTTCTTTTTTCCTCTTCAGCTCCACACTCTTGCTTTTATTTGCTATAGAATGAAATACTTAATAGAAAACAAACTGATTTGTACTGCATGGTACTTTGTACAAACAATGTTCAGCAATATTGACTGGCATTCTCTAGAAAGGGCTGGTATTAAAAGAATGTGAGTATAAGATTATTTAAGCCAAGCTGGAACACGGCAGCTCTGCTCATTAAGAGTTCACATGAGCATTTCTCATGTGAGAGCTGACTTCTAAATTAAGTCAGATGAACTGTGCTTGAGAAGCACCAAAAGGGAGCCTGTGGTCACTCGTCCAGATACAGATGTGCATGTGGTGTGCAACGGAAGTTAAATTAAACAAATTCCACCCAGAAACTGTGCAATTCTGTCATCTGAAGAAGGCTCTCTCACTGGGAAACGTAGCAGCTGGATACGAGTAGTGCATGTGCCACACGCTGGACAGCAAATTAAAGGTAGGACTCTGGAAAGGGACTAGATTTTTTTCTGAGGCTTCAGGATTAAGAGAGACTTCTTCCAAAGTTAGAATACCAAGGCTCACATGCTTTGCATTCTGTGGGACTGTTAAAAATCCTAATCTCATGGGTGTGAAAGAGTACTGACCCCTTAGTGTTTTAACTACATGGAGTACTTCATCCTTAAAGAAGCAGAGTGCTCATTCATACATTGCCCAGAGAGAGAAAGCACCCTCAGTCAGCAAGAAAGAAAATGTTGCAGAAGCAGTGACTGTACCTGATGGCTGCCTCTACCTCACTTCCAGGAACAGTTGTCACATTTTTGGAAGAATCTGTGACCACAAACCAAAATGACACCCGATCTGTCACATTGCAGAGCAGCACATTGGAAATTCTGCAGGCAGTTAAAACAAAAGTAATCATTAAAGAAGAATGGAAGGAATTACTGAAATATTTTAGATTTTCTTAAGATATTGCTTTCATATAAAGGAGGAAAAATTCTTGCTTTAAGAAAAGTTCATCAGTGTTCAGGGAAAAATATTGCTCACAGCATTTCCCATTTCCCAATATGATAAAACAACCAAAAAAAGGCTATTAAGACAATTATGAGTCTTCAGCTGAATTTCTAAATCTATTACAAAAACTTGCATGGTCTTGGACATACATTTAGAGTAATCAAATGGAGAGAAACACACTTGCACCTTAATCATCCAGAGCTATGACAAAGGCCATATAATGGGTCAAATCCATTGGTAAGTTAAGAATTTTGGGCTTGGTAGCTAATACCACAGGAGCCAGGCATGGGGGATTCCCCACATGATTTTCAAGTGAGTGCAGTCCTTCTACAGACTACTTGTGTTGGAGGGAAGAGCAATGATATTGCTGTTATTCTTTGTTCACAGAGTCAGGCACAGAGTGGACGCAACAGGCTAAACTCACACGTTCTACTGGCACTGCCCTATGCCCCTTAGCTTACAACAAGTATTTATCTTATCTTATCTGTTTTAAAAAAAAAGATTGCTCAGCTTTATGTGAAGTTAGTAGTGGAGGAGTACAAGCACATAGATTCTTATAGCATACTATGTAAAAAGTGTATCAAATGTCTTTTACATGCCTTTTTTCAGATTCTTACAAATTTTTTTTCTGTCACTAATACTAGTAAATGGTGGAACTATCATTAGAAAAACCTTATGGAATGACATCATCATGAGTACTTAATCTAAAGAAATGAAGGCTAATATATATTAGTATCATAACAGTAACTGAGGGTAGGTGGTGCCTCTGTGTCCCTCTATCTGTTCCCAGTTTATTCACATAACTAAGAAACAAACTGTCCACATGTGTCATATACAGGAATTTTATAAAGTAGCACTTATCACAGCATGGCAAGGAACATAGCATACATTGTAAAAGCATAGCCAAAGACTTTAAGAACTCAATGACTGACAGGTAGAGAGATAAAAAATGAAGAAAAAAAAAAAGTATTTCGTTCTGTATCATTAATAAATAAGCCAAAGAATTTGGCTCAGGATTCAGATTTACTGGCTACATCCAAGCAGGGAGTAGATATTCCGAAAGCTCAGAACCAAGACTCAGGATCATTGCTGTTTTCCAGAGCACAGCCTGGACTTGGTTCACCTTAGCACAAGGTCTACCTGGCCACAAGCACAACACAGCCTCCCTGTCTTGACAGAGTCCACTTGGGATGATCAGTCTTCAGATACTACCTTCTCTTCCAGAGGAGGAAACCCTGCGGCAAGCCAGCAGAGAAGAATGCAGCCTCTCTTTTAATTAACTGCAGTGATGTTCGTAATGCGTATTACTAACTACTACAACTGGTTTTAAGGTTTGACCAGTCTACCATCAAAATGCAAGTTTTCACATTTTCTTTCCAGCCCGTGTTCTTTTCCAGAGTGACAAATCCCTGGCTGCAGCCAACCTACCCTCCCGCGGAGCTCTGTTCTGTGGTGCCATCTGCTGGCTAATTATAATGTAATTAAACGACCTCTGCGGTGGCCTCGGCGGCAGGAAGCATGAGCTAGGAAGGCGTATCAGGGAGCCAAAACTGACGGTGAATGTGTAGACTCCATCCAGGAAAGAACGAGTTCACTCTTCAAACAGGACAGGCGTTGGCTCGATCACAGTAGTTGATTAAGGGTATCTTGCAGAAATATTTTACTATCTTGCAGAAATATTTTACCTACTGAAGCTGAAAGCTTCTTTTGGGTGGTGTTTTGGGTGCCTTGGGTTAGTGAAACCATTCGTTTTACAGAGAAGGTATCTATTCCATAGAGATATGCAATAGAATGGAAAGCAGTGTTTTTGCAGAGCTGAACTACCCACTTTTACATTCTGGAACCATGTCAATTTCTCAAATACAGGGAAATTTTATGGATAAATGGGGAAAGCCATCTTCTGGAATTTGAAAAGATGTTGCCATTGGTTTGCTGCCAACAGTCAGAAGACGAAAGCAGATTTATTATTCCCAAAACAAAACAAAAGCAAAGCAAAAAAACTTATAGGAGGGGAGGAAAAAAAGAGCCTACTTTTGGCTGGTGGCTGACAAGTTCTTGCTGACTTCACAGAGTATCTAAAATTGTATCTACAGAGCAAGTTTTCTGTCAGGAGAATTTATAACAGTAGGATCTAAAGCTTCATGTTACTGCAGTTCTTAAAGATAGAATTTCTATGACACAGCCAAAAACTGATGCAGGAAGTAAATCTGGGTTCGTGTTGCTCTACAGATGTTCTTGAAATGGTGAGGAAAGTGAGGAAAGTTTGATCCCCAGAAAGAAAGCTAAACTTGGTAGATAAAGACTGGCAGAACACCCTGACTTTCTCATTCTCATTCAGAGACTCAACAATACAGTGCCAAAGCATTCACTGTGAGATAAGGCAGTTGGTCATCACTGCAGGCAGCATCTCTCTTTCCAGAACAAACAGCACTGAATCAACTGGGCAGCAAGGGTTACACCAGGGTACATACATTTTGCCTCCTTTCTGCTCCCTGTTGTGTCTAAAATTTTTGCTCAGTTATAAGCATCCAAAACCCGGCTTCACAGCTGCTGCTTTTTCATTGGGAGAATCTGAATGCCCTAAGTCCTTCCAGGCTTCAAAGAGAACACCACCACTCACTAGAAGTTCAAAGGGGATTGGGTAAACACCAAAACAAACTGTTTCAACAAGCATCAATGTGGCCATTTCTTTGCAGCAGGTATGCCTGGTTGTTGTTTTCTTTTTCTCTGTGCTGTTTGCACACAGGTTTGATTGACAGCATGCAGCAGCATTACAAAACTATGCCTTTACACTGTTTGGATTTGACAAACGTGACTTCTCCATGCACTATGCTAAGTAACTGTATTTGTAAACATATGCGTGCACATCTTTTCATTTCCTTAGCAGGTAACAGACTTTTGTCATGCGGAATATAGGAGACTGTTCTCATCACAGTGACAAGGTCCTGGTTGTGCTTTATGGCAGCCCGGCAAAAGTCCAGAATCGCATTTCTGTTAATATACACAAGTGGACATGAGTGAGATGAGTGCAGAAAACCCTGACAGATCCTTGGCCTAAAATACCATCACTGCTCCTTACAGAGATTTAAATGATTGTAAGGAAAAGCTGACAGAGACTCAAAGGGAGCTGGGTGCCTACAGTGGCCATTAGCTCACAGGAGAACCACAGTCCCCAAATCTCAAGTGCCTATCTCCAGCTGTCCAGAAAGCATCAGGCCCCTCCCAGCACAGTGCAGTGCAGCTGCTCCTGCAAAGGAATGTTATTTTCTTCCTTTTTGTGAACAGCAGCCATGGGATCACCTTGACTAATAGCTTTAACTCTAGAAGCTTATTTTGTTGCTCTAAACAGTCACAATATTTTTAGTATGAAAATAGCTTTAGGAAGACAGAGAATGTTGATTTTGTTTTTTTGGTCACTTCATGAGGAAAACTGCAGCTTTTTTTATCTACAAATGGGGAGAAGATGTACCAAAATTATATCAGAACAGAAAAAGACTATTCTACTTGAATGAAAGTACATGTGATGACATACTTTCTGCTCTAAAGATTAACTAGTCTCAGCCCTAAAAGAGATGCATATTATTTCAAATGAGTCACAGATTAGAGGAACCATGGTAACTAACACAGACCACAGACAATCATATTTAACACTGAGAGATCAAAGGTTGGCTTACGTAGTTCATGGATGTACACATTGAATGAATTGAAAGGCCATATTAACCAGGAAAATAAAAGGGCATATAAAGAAGGAAATAAAGATGTTTTATTTCTCCACTGGTAAAGAATTTATTTTATGTATATAAATAAATAGTGAGTGATTTGACAGATTGTGTCTTTCTTCTGTTTCAGACAAACTTGAAAATTTGACAAGCCTTTCAAACATTAAACATAGCTTCATGATGTATTAAATGCTAGTTTAGAAATTAACTTTAGAGAATGCAAGATGTAATGTGCAATCCTGTCTGCTCTGTGTTGGGCCACTCACTGGTTCCACAAAGGGCAACAACAGCATCAACTCCTGCTTCCAGCAGCACATGCAAAGGCCTGACATTACAGGTTGGCTTTTATCCAGTTTCAGAAGCCTAACAAAAGGTGACTTTGAATCTCAAAAATGATGGGACGGACTGCAACAATGGTTATGCTGATCCACCAGGAACATTATTTTGGGGCCTGATCCAGCTTGCTGAAGTTAATGGCCTTTGGTCTCACATGGGAGTTAGTTGTGGCTGTAAGTTACTGCAGGGCTGTGGGGATGTGAGAAATTAAGGGGATGTTAAAGGGGAAGTTGGTTACATCCTGGTCATGGCCCTGTGCAGAATTTATACTCTGACAGAACCAGTATTTGGTTATGTAAAATATTGGTGAACTTTTCAGAACTCTTTTATTTTTGACAAAAATCTTTAATTAACCAGATGCAAAATTTAAGTACATTTAGATGCTACCAGAATGGAATCACAAGCAATTTCTTTGTTCTTTTATGACAGAATAATGTAAATCATTGATCTTTTACAGCTCCCAAAGATAATCTGTTAGCATTTTTCTGTAAAGACTCCTGTAGTGTAATGTAATGTATTTGCCACAAGCTCCTGCTTCTGCCTCCCTCTGAACCAGACTGCAAGCCCCTGCCACTATCCTTAGCAGCTATGGGTGAGGGCTGTTCCTGTGTGCACAGCGTGCCTCTGCACCCCTGGGATGCTGAGTGCTCCCACACCTCTGGACCCACTGCAGAGGTGTAGAGATGGACTGCACTCCTTCCCCTGTACCCAGTTCCTTCCAGCAGCCAGCCACAAGGGTAAGAAGAGGACTGCATTATTTCCAGGACTTCTAGGAGGATTGAGGCTTTCATAGCTTTCCTACTCCCATGTAACAGGAAGGTTAT